CCAGGACAGCCTTGCTCAGCTGTTGCAAATTCAAGGCAGTGGCTTTGCTTAAGGAGTCAATCCATCCCACATTTGGACTTGCTTTTCCTCTGCTGCTTTCTATTTTGCCTAACATGATTGTCTTCTCCAGGGAGTTTTGCCTTCTTATGATGTGCCCAAAATATGACAACCTCCGTTTTGTCCTCTTTTGCTTCTAGGGAAAGCTCTGGCTTGATTTGATCTAGGAGCCACTTGTTTGTTTTTCTGTCAGTCCAGGGTATTTGCAAAGCTCTCCTCCAGCACCATGTTTTGAATGCATCAATTTTCTTCCTGTCAACTTTATTCACCATCCAGCTTTCACATGCATACATTGTGACTGGGAATATAATAGTCTGGATGATCTTGTGCCCAGTGAAACATCCTTACTCTTGATTATCTGTTCTGGTTCCCTCATTGCTGCCCTTCCAAGTTGCAGTCTTCTTTGTATTTCTTGGCTACAGTCTCTATTTGAGTTGATTTGCTATCCTGTCCTATTGTGATTTAATGATAACGAATCATAAGCACTGTTGCCTCGCCTGGAGAACAGCCTGCACGGGGGGGGGGGGGGGGGGCACACATATCACCTGGTCAAAGTCTTCTGTACAATGCTGAGATGTATTGTATTCCTGTTTAAATTGTGGTAATTATTTCTAGATTTGCATCTGTGGGAAACCCCAGTTACTTAGATAGCTCCACAGTGTCCCCATGAGCATCTGGGTCAGTTGAAATCCTACGGGGCAACTGGAACATTTTTATCCAGCTGTATCTCACTTTGTTCCATAAGGCTGACAGGTTGCACCCAACCTGGGCTTTTGAGTTGGAAGCACCTGTTGTTAAGATGGTGGGTCCAGCCACATGTAATTTTCTAACCAGTGGTTACTCATTGGCCCAGAGATATCAGAAACAGAGACTTTTGTGATAATAGTCAGACCAGCCGCCAGTTTCTGCAAAGTAGCTAGTTTTATTGGACAAATATCCCCATTAAGATTTCCTCAATCATTCCATACCTTCCTATATGCCATCTAACTGGCAGCTGGCTACTCTCTCTCAAACCATCCTCCTTGCAGTAAACTCAGCATAACTTCTAGGACCCACAGGTGTACTTATGTAGGGAATATGATTGGGTAATTTAGACTGACTTTTTGGGTTTATTTGCAATTCCATGAATGTGTGTGAATATTTCCTTCCTTGGTCCCCCTCCCCTATTTCCCCTTTTCCCTCTGATAACATGTGGACATTTGGTTGTCTTTTAAAAAGGATTCCTCATTGAACTTTCCCTTCTCAGTGGGAAAGACCATACCATTCCAAAGCAACTACTTGGGCTCTTAAGATTTTTAGAAAGGTTTGGGAAAGTTCTTTGTTTCTGGGAGCCTGGGAAGGAAAGTCCAAAACACCTTTCTTTTTTGTTTTATTTTTCCTTAGGGTTAGGATGAAAGGAGAGGTCCCTGGCAATGAAGCTCAGAAATTGCTGAAACAGCTGAATGGCCTATGGTGTGTCAAACATTTTTCCATATTGGTGGCCGCTTATAAGAAATTAGTTTCCTATGGAATCCCCATAAAGAAGGGATCCCTCCGGTGGAAAAGTTAACTCCCCTTTAGTTGTATCTATAGCATCTATACATATATATTAGCATATGCAGAACGTTATACAAATCCCTGCCTCTGTTGTCCTCTTTTTTTAGTGATGCACCTCCTCTTTGGAGGTAATTCATAAATGGCCACCCTAGTCACTATTCTAGTTTCCTTGTTTCTTGCATGACACTAACTTTCTTGTGTTAAGACCCCTGCAAAGTGGGGCACCGCTTGAAAGATCTGAATGAAAGCCTCCTTCATCTACTTGCCAACTCAGCTGTACTTGACTGCATGTGTGGCAAATAACAGTACAAGGATGGATTTCATTTCACGCAAGTGGCAGAGCAATAGATTTGTCTTTCAGGAGTCCTTCCAACCTTAAGGAATCAGTTACCCCACCATAATGTAATGAAGTCAAAGGATTCTTTGCCATGAAACATGCAACTTTCATCCTTAAAGAGAATGGAATTGAAGACGCGTGGGGAAAATGGTAAGGACCTGTTGGTGGTAGTCGACGGCAGCAGATGGCTCAAGGAGGCACTCTATGAGATGTTAGTAGGATTGGGCAGGTGGAGTGGAGCCAGGCCTGCAGCACCAGGACTTTTTATCGGAAAGGACACGGATGTCATCAGAGGATTTCCTGTTGTCTCTGGTTTCTAGAAACGGAGGTGCTATCTGCATGCCATCTAAAGGGTGTGTATGGTGACAGATTTTACCAAGCCTAGTGGTGTCCCAGGTTGGCCTCTCTGCTTCAGAAGCAATCAGTTGTGTACGTGTGTGTGCGTGAGCGTTAAAAAACACCACAAGATCTTTTATTCAATTAAAACTTTTATTTAATTAATCCTTCCAAGCATGAACATTTCCACAGATATCATGCTCTTGTGCTCATGCTCTTCTTTGTTCTTCACCATGTTAAAGTGGAATTAGAGTCAGCAAGTGATTCACACGGGCTTAATTAAGTGTTTTGGTACATGTCAATAGCAGCAGGAATCCATCTTCATGAGGGTAACAGATCTGCTAGGAACCAAGCTGATCTGATTAAGACTAAGTATTTTGCCTAGCAGGGAAGAGCTAAAGGCTCTTGTTCTGAGTTACAAATAATTAAATTGCTTTAATTCTTATGCAATTCCTCTCAGGGCTTTGTTGCCCACACAAAGAAAAGGTTAATGAAGAGCAATGCTATTTGCGCCTTGGGTTTATTTTATTTATTTATTACTGAACTGCCACTTAAAAAAAAAGTTGGCACTTTCCAAACAGACATGTGTCATCCTGCAGTGAATAGCTTGTTTGCCGTTGCAAAACCAGCTCTCTCTCCCCATTTTCAACTTTTCAGTGACTGCTTGGTTGGTATAAAAGGAGGAGGATTTTCTAACTCAGATGCTGTAGGCTTCAGATGGTGGCGGGTTGTAGAGAAAAGCAAAAAGGACCCCAACATTTAGGATCAAGCTGAATTATCTAGCTGGGTCCTAGTCCCCATTCAGCCACAAAAGTCATGGAATGACTTTGGGACACTCCTTGACTCTGAGTCTAACCTTCTTCACAGGGTTGTGGAAAGAGCAAAAGGAGAAGAGGATTGTGTATTTGCACTAGACTTCTTGGAGGAAAGGCAGTATATAAATATGACAAATAAATAAATGAGCTTGTTATTAAGATGGCGATTGTCAAAAAGTTTGTTGGTTTTAAAATAAAGGCTTATAAAAAGCAGGCTTCAGTTCCTGTCACAGAAGACCTATTCCCCTTTCTTCCTTGCGCAAAGAAGAATAACTCTTATAAGATGCTATTTAATTAAGAAACATGTGCAACTCTACTATAAACAAGGGTGGCTCTATATTTAAGCAGGACTGACTGTGCTGGTGGAAATGGACTTCCCGTTTTTTCCTCCTCGGAGAATCAAGAGTCCCTGCTGAAATTTGTAAAGCTCTACTTCTTTTTCTGTTTCTTTTAATATTTATAAATAAAATTAATATATTAGCTAATGATTTAAATATATAATATTATTGCACAAGGAATTGGCATCTACTGTGGATGGCTTATTTGTATCTTAGTGAAAGAACACTTCTTTCAACAACTAAGCATAGAAATGAAGAGGCCAGTTCTGAGCAAAACACTGGTCAGGAAATGCTTCTGTTGATGGAAAAACTACTCCCTCCATCCTTACTTTTTGATGTGAGATCCATCACACACAGGGAGGGCTGTAGCTATGGTTGGGGGACAGCTTGTAGCCCCCTAGGTTTCATTTTTCCAACCAGTATGCATCAAAGGCTGAGAGTGCTTCTAACTGGTAGGTATCTCATGAGCAGAGCTGGCTGGAGCTGAGGGTCAGACTAGATGGCCAAGGAGACCCCCTTCTGACTTGCTACGTTTCTATGTTTTTGTAAGAAAAATAACTGCCTGGGGGTGGACTAACCATGCACTATTTATTATTTGGCAGAGAACAGGTACTGCCCGCCTGCATGTCTTTTCCTCTGTGCTGGCTAAAATTAGAATTTTCCAAAATGGTTATGCTCCCCACTCCATCTTGATGGTTCATTCCTTGAAGGTTGCAGGGATGAGACTTCACAGGGGCAACACTGCAGATCCTCAAACACAGTGGATGGGAGCCTACCTCAAGGAGACCCATTGGGACCAATGGCAACTCACCCCATTCCCATTGAGCTCAATCCATCTGACTCTATCTGGATCCATCCCATTTTGTTTTGAAACTAACTTGGTTTGTTCACATACTTCAGCAATGGAATCTTGTTTAACTACAACCTCTCCAGGAGCTAGAACCTGAATGCCAATTTTTTATTTTTACTTTTTGTTATTCTGCTCCAAATGCGTTGGTGCTCCCACCTCAACCTTCCCCACCCCCACAGCAATCCCTAAAATGAAGCCTTTGCTGACGATGTATTGTTACCATCTAGCTCCATCGATGATTTTTTAGCTCTAAGAGCCACAGCATAGAAAGGAGCAGATGGCTGGCCCAGTATGTTATTTTTAGCTACACCTGCCTTTCAGATTACACCGGCTTCAAGTAGATATTCTTCTCCCATTCCTGGAGACCTCCTAAAGAACAAGGCCTCCCTCTGAAGGACTCTTTTACATGCATTAAGGAGTGTTAGCTGGCACTGTCCCAAAGCAATGTGCAGTAGCATTAACAATAGTTTAAAGGCACAGTGAAATACTTAATATATTGAACCTCTTGGATCCCAGTTTCATTTTTTACAAAGTCACACCCGTAAATAGGAAGCAGCCTTTGGCCTGAGGAGAATAAGCAAAAACAAAAGCAAAATAAAAATAAAAATATAGAGCAAGGTGTTATTTTAAGATTGGGGAAAATGCAACAAAATACCCTGTTTTGTGCCAATATTAAGCAAGAACTAGTTTCATATTTAACATTGATGAAAGTGCAATAATAGAGGCTATTTTGTGCAAATATAAAGCAAGAAGCATAACTCAGCAGCCAGACAATAATGCACATAACATTTACATTAAGAGGCAGCTGTTGCTGAATTAAAAAAAAGACGATACTGCTTTAATGTCATAAGCAAGAATCCACTTGCAGTTTACAACAGGCAAGCAGTATCAGCATTTATCCAAAAACGAGCTTGAGCTAGTGTCTCCAGCTTGTTGGATTGTAAAAGATCACCAACTCATGCTGTTTTCTGAAATTATTTAAATCTTCTCCTGCATTTACCAGCATGTTATCTTGAAGTAAATGAAATGCTTCTGCTGATTGACTAGCTTCACACATGACGTTTGGAAGGGGCCACAGACCTGGCCCAAAGGTTAAGACATCAAAACCATGCTCAGCAAGCCTTAAATCCTAGCAACACTTATCTAGGCATAATCTCCTACTGAATACAACTAGGGTAAGGGCTAGGGCTAGGGCTTAGGGCAGTTGGGACTTAATTTTGAGTAGACATGCATAGGACCATGTGAGAAGTGTGTTTGAGTAAGTCTCTGTGTGCCTAATGCACTTCATGGGGGCTTTGTGAGGATAAAAAGAGGGCACTGAGGTCCAGTAAGGTGGAAGTAGGGCAGGTGCAAATGCATTTGAAGAGTAGCAGCAGTCTAGAACTGATCTTTTAGTGGACTCCCGAAGCGGATTGCATTGTTACTAAATCCTCCATGCTACATGGGCACCAGCAGGTAAGTGCTACCCCCACCCGCTACAGAGCAAAGGTTTGTTGGAATTAGAACATGAGAATCTGCTTCCAGCTTGGTGTGTTAAAAAAAAGCACCTCCTGACTAAGTGTTTCAGAACTCCTTGCTGGTATGAAGCAAAATTTGGGCTCGTTATTCTCTCTTATGCCAACCTACTCCACGAGGTACTGACTAAGGTAAAATGAGATACTCTTATGGCTCTGGAGGAAGGAAAGGATACAGAAACAAGAAATAAAATGAATACCATTTAAGATTACCTAGTTTTCTTCTGGAATAAGTTCACCTTAAATACTTTGTTTTACATGGCTAATTTCTTACATAAATAAATAAATCCAAATGGATTTTTTGGCTAGTAAATTATCTTTTCAAACCAGGGAAACTACACTATTAAAAAGCAAGAAGATTTTCAAACCCAAATCCACTCTTTGAGGGTTGCTGTGAACCCTGGCCAAGCAAATCACATCTGAATAAAACATAACCGTCAAACAGTACAGCATTCCTGAAGTACACTGGAAATTATGAAGGTTCTACTGAGTCACACTATCACTAACTCTGGGAAATATATGAAGTTTGCTGTAACATGGATCCCCCTCAATTGTAGGTACAAGAAGGAAAGATAACAGGATTCGACCTATTTTAAGTAGTTAGAAAAAGATTTTATGGAAACATACTATTGGCCTGAATCTGAAAGCAGTCTACAATTTGCCAAGATTCTACTTGAAATCTTGAGCTAGTGTGTGACACACTGTAGCCTTCTGTAATATGGGTTCACTCCAGACATTTTAGACTACAACTCCCAGAATTTCTTAAAATTAGCATTGCTGGCTGGGGCTGATGCAGTTGAAATCTAAAATATCTGGAGGGCATCAGTTTAGGGAAGGCTGACTGTTAGGGAAACTGTAGCAGCTAACAGCTCAGAATAGAAGCATCAGGGAAATCCTTGGCTTCTTCTGATACATGGTATTAGGCACCCCTACTCTTCTCAACAGCCCCCCTGCTTGTACTTCTTTACAGATTTGTTGTAAGGAGTGATGTGTCATTCACTTCTAATTTTTAGTATGCTAGGAAATAGTATTAATTGAGCACCATCAGCACTTTTGGCAAGTTGACCTCGTTTTATGGCCACAATATTATGACAATGAGGTGGGATGATCAGCCTTAAGATACCTAGTGGAACATGACTAATTCTTCCTTCAACCATCACACACAAATTACATTGTCTTGGCTATTAGAACTGCAAAATGAAATATTGTTATACAGTACACATTGTAAATATTAAAGCTGTATTAGAAAACACATAGAATTGTTATTTTAAAGACTTTTCAAATGCCTAAGATAGCTAAGGAAGTTCATTCCTTTAATTATGTAAACTGAAGGCTCTGTGTCTATTTTACTCTGCCTTTGAGATTCATAGCAAAAGCCAGTTGGTGGCTGTTAGAAGCAGCATGCTGAACTGGTTGAACCCTTGGTTTAACCCAACAAGACAGTTCTGTAATCTTTTACAGTCCAAATTACTCCTCGCTACTGACTCATCTAAAAACACATTGAAATTAGAGGGAAAGGATTTGATGCAGCCCCTTTCCATAAGATTAGGTAACTGTGTTTAAACAGCTTTATAGCATTAGCTTGTGCTTGATAACTCGGAAGCAAGGCTCAGTCAATTCTACGGTGTGTACTTCCTGTTAAGTATACTTGGGTATGCAGGCCTAGACAATTTACTTTAGAGGTAAGCTTCATTGCACTTGGTGGGAGTAGACATGGACAAGAAGGGACTGTAAGCAGTACTGGTTTTTAAAAATTTAGGATTATAGCAGCTTTTAAAATGCTAATAGTACTAAGGTCAACTCTACATGAATGTGTAGATTAAAAGTCCATCATCATAACTTGGTAGAAGAAAAAGTTTTTAAAAGCCACAGATAAAATAGGTTTATTTAAAAGTTATTTTCAGCAAAATGAATATGCAAAATACAAACTCTGACAACATTTTAATTTTTTCACTTCATAGTTTACAAATATACAAAATAGAAGTCTCCTTAAATTTATATTACATATTTATTAAGTAAAGAACTATATAGAATTTTTTTGTTCTGCTTAAGGCATATTTGGGAATAAACCATTGTACAAATTATTGCACATTGAAACCACAGTGCATTACAGACTGTCTGCATAGAAGATTAAGAGAGAAACAAACGCAAATAAATCAGGTTTTTTAACCTGATTTTTGTCATCACTAACTGTAGATCGGAAGACAAACGTATTTCCTTGTCAAATATGCAGCAGTTTGAGAACTTTGGCTTCCTTTTTTTGGTACCTTAAGAACCAAAAGTCATTCAGCACCATGAACATAGACTTTAACCACAACTCTGTACCTGAATTTCTTCTTCCTTGACTTAGTTTAGTAATGGCTTTTGAAAGGAAAAAGAAATTGCAAGGCTACAACTTGTTTAAAATATTGCATTGAAAAGAAATCTTAAGGGAATTTAGGGTGAAGACAGATACAGCATTTAAAAAGAGGTCACAGTGGATTCTTCAGCCATGGTGTGAATGAGGCTTCCTTCTGGCTTTGGAATATATATGTCGTAAATGCCTTCCATCAGGTCATATGGTCTCAGTTTTATTCCTTAGTTTTCTTAAGGTGCTGCCAGCCTTTTAATTTTTTAAAGTACATATAATGAACATTTGTTCCTCTTAAAAAAAAAAAAGGTTCTAAAACTATTGTAAAGCAATTCAGGTAACTGGGATTACGGAGAGAGAACTCATGAAGTACAACCAAATAAACACTGCCTTTGCTGCTGGAACTTGGCGCAATTGTGTTTTTAGGCCCTCAACAATGGAGATGAAAAATGTAGTGAAACAGCTACCGAAGCAGCCCTGCTGCTCTACAAATGATACATCTGTCTTCACCCATAGGCTTCCCTACGTAATCTCCCATTCACCCCACCCTCAACAGTTTGTTTTAACCCTGATATCCTTGACTTCCAGTCAATCCTTGGCATTCTGTATTCCAGAAAGATTCAAGTCAGATTTATAAAAATGGAATGATGATTAAAAGATCCAGTCATTGTTTCCCCATTTGCTTTAAAGTTCCACAAATGTGTTCTCATTGTCCATTCATGTCCACACATCTTTTTGGAAGACTTCACTGGAATCCTTTGTAGTGCTTTAAGTGGAGATCTCCCTTCTTGTGGAAGACAGTCTTTTCTGCTGTCAAATACTGAATCTCTCATGGCAGTAAAAAGTTCACCATGTCCCATTTAAAAGTGTCTCTTCATATGTAAGGCGAGGTGGTCAGACCTGGAAAATGCTCTGTCACATCTCTGACACTGGAATGGGCGATGGCCTGTGTGTTTTCTGTAGTGACGCGTGAGTTCATCGGAGCGGGCAAACTTCCAGCCACAGCCTTCCCAATCACAGTGGTAGGGCTTCTCACCTTCAGAAATAAACAGCCACATCAATTACTTCTATATTTTGTACAGATACTGGAACTAGCATTCCATGCCCCAATAAGTGAAAGTCTATTCCAGTAATAACAAAGAAATACGTCTTCAATGACTAGGACTTTTGTCACTATAGGTACATATTCTAGAATATCTGGGTATACACTGGATAAAAAGTTAGGCAAAGTATCACATAGATTTCTTTGGCTGGAGATAATTGTCTCCTCAGAGTGCTGACTGTGGTATAAGAGAAACAAATTATCTGTGGTTATTCATACATATATCTCACAATCATCTCTATTCACTGGTTTTGCAGGTCTTTTCAAAACCAGTAAAACTTGTTTGACCAGAGACAGTGGGATTAAAAAAAAAAATAAAGTGTGTATGAGGCTTGTAAATATGATAGTCACCTGTGGCTACTAAGAATTGCCTCCGAGTGACCCGGCAAAAATGTACTTTTTCTCTTTTAGGCCAGAAATAACTATGCTAGGAAATATATTTGTGGATCTAGTACTATTCACAGACTTAATGAGGCAACAATATCTGCCTTGCCATAAATTCTCAAAGTGTCATCTAACACCTATATGAACTCAGATTTCAGCACACACCTAGAAGTGTGAATGCTCCGTACACATTATTACTGATTACACAGTATAATGCATTCATTTTTTATCTATTCCTTGACTGTTTCTGTTTATGTTGTATATAAATGTTGTATATATGTTGTATATAAATATATATACACAACATATATGTTGTATATAAATATTTCAGACTATAAAGTAATCCAAGTTCTTTCAGTCAGAGGGAAAATTAGTACATAGCAAGAGCTTAGTAATCAAATTGTTAGACCTGAACTTTCCAAGGATGTAAAAGAAATTATTGACAGCTAATTGCTGTGCTTCACTGTCATTAAGTTGTTTCCCAGAAAGTTCATTTTTCTAAGCCATCTAGAGTCATGAAACAGTTTTGATTTAGCCTTTAACTGTACACTTGTACTATAGGCTGTTCAGAGATCAGAGTCATTTTATTTTAGATGTGCTGGCAGACCTTATTGTACATGCATGAAGGTAGAAATGTCACTGAAATAATTTAAAGCATTTGAAAATCAGATGTTTGCTTTTTTGACATTTTTACAAGGCAGTCACAACCATAGTTATTTTGACGATATTCTGTCTTCAGTAGAAGTTATACACATGTATGTATACCTTACTATACTTCTGTTGATAGTACACTATCATTTAATTAGAATTTTGTTGGCAGTGGGGACAACTCCAACTACCAAGTTTGTCACACTGTTGATCTGAAAACATATGAATGCTGTCCTTCCAAATATATTTATTGTAATTAAATCCCACTGAAAAGAAAGTGGTTTTCTTCCAAATAAACATGGCTAATGTCAGGATAAACCCATGATGACTTCATAGCAAATTGAATATATAAACCTCAGCAGCAAGAACCAAGTCAGTTGGTTATTTTTATCACTTTATGCGGATGGCTGGAAAATCTAGAACTGGATGTTTTCCGCAGCTAATTAACGAAGTCTGTTGCTGACTGGCAGCGACTTTTATATTGCAGAACTGAAAAATTAATTGCAACTGTTTCTGGGAGGGCTGTTTTGCTTTCACCAAAATCAAAATAGTCCCCGATTAGAAATTGGTTTCCAAGCCCAAAGCCAATTATTAAAAGCCAATTATTAGTTAATATGTGTTGGTTTGGTGTAAATCAAGAAGAAAGCAAGAGCTTAAACCAAAAATAATAACAAATAAAGTATTTATGACTGTTTGCAACATCCATATCTCCAGCAGAAACATATTGGTGGTGTTATCAGGATAAACATGCTTAAATCACTCTGGACTTCTAGCTACCCTGTAATTAAGTAGCCACATGGTCGTAACCAGGTAAGCAATATGCATGTGTCTGCAAAACAATTCCTCTGTCATGGCTGAGTCACTAAAATCCATTTTAACCGACACCTGCAAGCTGTCAGTGAAGTCATAATTTTAATTGGACTTTCGATATTTAAACTCTTATCTTGGATCGCACCACAACCTACTGTTTAACACACCAGTGGGATGGCATGATTTCTTATCCTTTTTGATTAATACTACTGCAGTTCTGTTGAAATTCAATAACACAAGGATACTCACAAGTTCAACAATGACGATTGTTTTTTTCAGGGAACTGAACATGATCTGAGAAGGGAATTACTACTTAGATTGTGTACACTTGTTCTGCACTTGCCCTTGCTAAATAAGTGGCAGGTTTATTTCAAAAACCTACGAAACCTATTCGTCTAGATAGATTAAGATTGCATGTGTGCATGCACACATCATAGGAAATGGTGCTTCTCACACACTTGCTGGAGATACAATAGTTTCTATGGCACTAGTAGTGCAGAATACAAATTTAATAAATAAATAGCTTAAGGCTACACTTTTAAGCCGAAAAAGATACCCACAGTTAGTTATTTCTGAGTAAAACCAGAACAGAGTTAAAAGAAGTAGGAATGAGGTATCGCTGCTTGTACAGACCTATTTCTTTTGTCCCACTATCACCCCTCATCAAACAGGTTTTACAAGATTTTGAAACACTACATGAGCTTGCAAAACTGGTGCATGGAGCTGACAGTGGGATGAATGCACACACCACAGGCAACAAAGACTCTGTCATACTATTCTGAGCTCTCTGAAAAGCTAACTTCAGTTTCACAGAACTTTCTTACCCAATGTATGTGTGTGGTGCTGGTGGTGTGGGGTGGAAGATGCTCACATTCTTTGCTTAGAACAGAAATGGGACTAAACAGAATTGATTTCATATAAGGCCTCATCATGCTTCTTGAGGCCCCGAACTGAACTGGCCTTACCTGTATGTGTCCGAAGGTGGGCTTTAAGGTGTGAGCTCTTGGTGTATGTTTTACCACAACCCGCATAGTCACATGTGTGTGTGGCAGTCCTTTTCCTGGGCCATGACCTCCGACCCCTCTTTGGTTTCGTCTCTTCAGAAAGGCAGCTCCCAGAAGGCATCAGCTCTAGAGGTGAAGAGGGCGGAGTCAACATCATTCCTTGTACCAAGCGAGGCATACTTAAAGGCTCTCCAAAAACATTTAGATAGTAAGACTGACCTTGATATTGGAGTGCGCTGGGTGGCAGTTGCTCTGGGAGGAAAGGGGGGTATCCTGGGCCTGGGTGGTAGCCCGGTGGAAGCGGCAGGGCTGAATGGCTCAAGCCTTGTGGGGAGGGGTGGCAGTCTCTGCTGTTCATCATTTCCTCTGGAGTCAAGGGAGGGTTAGTCCTGCTAGGCAGTGGCCGCCCCAAGGGGAAATCATGCTGTTGTGCTCTTGGAGTAGTCCCATGGGATTGGCCAATGGTGCATGAAGGGGCTGCCTCCTGCTTGATTTTTTGGCACATCCTGGGCACATGGTTATAAACAGGTGGTGGCACAGGTCCATCTGTGCAAGGGGAAGCGGCAGCAGCGGCTGCGTTGTTCTTGCTGCTAACACTGATGTGGTTATTGTATTCCCCCATGTTCACTGTGGCTTTCACCACAAACTTTCCATGCAAGCTGCCCAGTGGGGGAGGCTGCTGTTGTTGCTGCATATAAACAGGGTCCAGATCAGGCCTCATCAGCTCAGCCACAAATCCACCAGAAGGGGACACATCATTGATGTCCGCCAGGTTGAAAGGGGCAGCTGGGGTCTGTTCTCTGTTGTACAGTATCCCCGCTCCTCCTCCTCCTGCAGTGTGATCCTCTCTTTGCAGCTGGTACGGGAAGTCGCAGGTGGTCACAGACGGGCAGCCACTGCTACTGACGGCAGGTGAGGAGCCAGGAGCAGAGCTCACAACTGCAGCAGCAGCTGTGGGCTGCTCCTGGGGCATCAGGGAGTTGGATAAGATGAAGTCAAAGTCCAGGAGCTCATTCAACTCCTCCGTCTCTCGCCTTGTCATAGTCACACCACTGATACTTGTGGTGGTATTTTCCACCTCAGAAGAGAGGTCGTAAGGCCGTCCTGTTAACACAGGGGGGAACCGCTTGAGATGAGACAGCTCCTCCCGCCACTTCTGTGAGCAGAAAGATAAAAGAGCTTTTGTTAAAGAAGAAAAAAGATTCCGTCTACTTCTGCTAGATGAACACTGACTGGAGAAAGTGCTAAACTTTTAAATTTTACAAAACAGTTTCTCAGAAAATAAAAGTTCAGCAAACCTCAGCTTTAGTTAAAGAGGCATTCACTTAAAACAGGGGTGGTGATTCTTCATAGCTGCCCTTTGGGACATATAGTTGAGTTGGTAGCTCCCCCAACACTGTATGAATGTTACTAATTAAATTAACACCCGAATCTATCCAAAGCAGTGACCGAAGGGCCCAATAAAATCAGCTGCTAAACTGCAGGACTATGAAGTGAAACTGTTGAGTTCATGCAATATATCTTTGTTGTTGTTAAAAGACTGATATTTTAGCATGACTAGGAAAAAAAATACTATGAATTGCTTCTAGGGCAAACTTTAAGCAAAGTTCATGTCATGGCATGTTATTGTGAACTGTCAATTTTTCCCATTTTGTGTTATGTGATTTTTGGGGTTCATGCTGCAGTATAATAGGTTTAAACATTTTTGTGGATTTAAACCATGGAGCCTGAAACTTTGAGGTGCATTGTAAAATAACTCATATTACAGCCTTAATTATTAATGCCTAATATGAAAACCCTTCTATTAATGAATAGAAAGATTTGATTAAGTTAAAGCCATCAGTCTGCAAAATTGCTTTGGGGTTATAAGTCCACTTATACTCTAGCCTATCCACACATTAATTATATTGTTACATTCATACTCTTATAACCAATTCTTACTAACCTACATATTAGAGTTATATTCTAGGCACAGCTGAGATATAATAAATGTACATGACAAAAAATATAAGAAATTATGTAGCTGTCTAATGTAGTCACAGACAACAGGAAGATTAATACAAATAGATGGGTTTTGAAATAACTGCACATGCAGCATTAACGCATTAGATTGCTTGCGTTTGATAGCAGACTCATGTAGGTGTTTTCTAAACCAGCATGCATTATACAATAGCAGCTGTAGGTACAAGCCTTCGGTCTGAAATGACAGAACGAAAAGCTAACCTAGGCACATGAGTAGGTGTGGATATTTCCAAAGGCTGCCAATGTATTAAGTACATGCATACACACCCATGATTTTGGCTTGTGATATGCCATATATTCCAGCTGCTTATTTACTTCTTCCTATTTACTCCTGGCATATCTTTCTGCATTCCCTCAACCCCTATGAGATCGCCTTCAGGAGATGGCTATACCCACGGAGAAGGCAGAGGGCTTTCCACAAAAGCTGAGGGTCCAAGAAACAGGAGGAGCATGGCGTGTGTGTATGTGTGTGTATACAAGAGACATTTATATTTTTTTAAGGGTTAAGATTACACTTCAGCTTTATAACCCTCTCCCATGCTAACAAATACATGATTCATAATCCCTTCTTTCTTTCTTTTTTTAACTTCATCCCTGTGTATTAACCAAAAAACCCCCGGATGGAACTCAGAAGACTATTTTGGAGATGTTTCACTAGAATCCTGTTTAGAGCCGATCACTGTCCCATATTCTATGACACTGGGACAGTTTCCTCTGGTTCGCATATCTGACCTCCACCATCCACGCCCTCATAACCATACTCCCCTCCTCATCTCTCCCTGACCCCCCAAGTCACCAAGCCCTAAATTCCTACAATGACACTACCACCTGCCAGGACTCAGGTCTACCTGGACTCCTCTCCTTCTGCTCTACCACCTTTCCCCACTCATCTAGGAGAGATTCTCCAGATGCCCTATCGGTGAAGGGCATGAATTCAGCACCTGCACGAGGACCCTGGCTTGTGTCCTGCGCCTGCTTGCAAACAGCGGCTGGGGCCGAGCTCCGCGCACCTCGCAGGCCCAAAGTCCCACACCTGCCTCTCTCCACGCCACAGCCACCCCACACAGGCCCGTGTCGTCGCCTCCGCTCGGCTACTCACGTTGTTAGCACCTGCTGGCCGCAGGACTTTCTCCCTGCCGGTCGTGCCCGTCGTGGCGAAGGTGGAGATGGAAGGGAGCAGGGTGCCGCTGAGAGCCATGTCAAACTCGCCGGGGGGCGGCTGCCTGCAAAAAGGTCAGAGGAGGAGAGTAAAGCAACCGGCAAGGCTCCGAGCAGCCCTTGACGTAGCATCCAGGGGTTACAGATCCATTCGGGGGTTTTTGGCGCGCTTTGAAGCTTTAGATCCCAGCATCCTCCAGGAAGAACAGAAGTGGAAGGGGAAGGGGGGAGGGGGAAATGAGGGGAAAAAGACAGAACGCCACCCACCTCATTAATGTGTCAGGGGCTGGTGCTTGGTCGGAAGGCGCAGAAGAGCAAACGGCACCGGCAACGACAGCAACAGGTGTGAGAGAGTAACAGAGAATATTGCAACGGAATCTCTTGCAACTTTTTGTTTGGTGGGTGTTTAGATCGAGGGCGAGATAGTGTCCTTCGGGTGCGGAATCGCGAGGGTGTCTTGGAGTTCTTCCTACTAGGAAGAGCAGCCCCGCCACGGAGCACGAAGAGTAGCAGCAGCAGCAGCGAAAGCCGCTCCGCAGGCAGGCAGCGGCGTCAGCGGCGGCAGCAGGAGCAGCAGCAGCGGCAGAGGCAGCAGCAACCCCGGCGGCAGCTGGACGGCGCGAGGCAACTCCTGGGGATTCCCTGCTCGCGCCGCTGCCATGAGGGGAGTTCGGGATTCTCCCGCAGCCGCCGCGCGTCCCTGGCGGAGCGGAGCGAGCGGCTGACTGACGGGCAGCCGGGCGGGGCTGGCTGGCGCGCGATCGCCCTCTCTCTCGCTCGCTCTCTCTCTCTCTCACGCGCCCGGGCTTTCCCCTCCTTTCTCCGGCGAGGGCTGCCCTCGACGTGCCTCGCCTCGCCTTTCCGAACTGTCAAGCCGCGCGCCCGCCGCCTGCTAACTTATAAACTTCCGCGCGCCCCGCCCCGCCCCGCCCCGCCCCGCCTCCCCCGTGAGCCACGCCCACTCGCGGGGGCTTGGGATGCTGTCGCCGTGGCGACGAGGCGAAACAACAAACTTTACTCTCTCTCCAACACGTGGGGGGTGGGGGAGGAGGAGGAAGAAGGTGGAGAAAGAGAGAAAAGGGCAGGCGGGCAAGTAGGCAGGCAGGCAAGTAGGGATGGGCCGTGACGTCAGCGGAGCAGCTGGCTGGCAGCTCGCGCCCAGCGCTGACGCCAGCGAGGAGGAGCTCGCGAGGCAGCCGCGAGCCGTCGTCGTTGTCGTCGCCCCCCCCCTCCGCCCGCGCTCCCCTTTTCTCCCTCCAGGCTTTGCGCGCCGCTGGGGCAGCGCCCTGGCGCTCGCGCACCTGAGGGGGTGGGGGGGTGTTGGGGCCGCGCGTGAGAAGGGGCTGCGGGCGGCGGTTGCGGCCGTTGGGAACGGCACCCCGAAGGGAAGGGCGGCTCGGCCGTGGAGCCGGCAGTCGAGGGCGGTCGAGAAAAGAGCCCCTGTCGGGATCCGCCGAGCGTCTCGCTCACGACCAAGGGCCAAACAGACGCGGCGTGAATGGCGTGGTTAACGCCCGTGGGGGATTCGCGGTCCTTTTCTTGCCGTAATAATGCCAGCGATCCTCGCAACAGCCACGCTCCCGTTGCCACAAGCGATCGTATTTGTGTCCGTGGGACCTTCGCCTGAAATACAAACAGCCCCTCCAGAGAGGCATCTTCGCGGCAGGCTCATCGAAGGGAGGGCAAGGGTTAACCTCCCTTCCTCTCCCCCACCCCCGAGGCGGCTCAGGCTTCCCCGGAGCTGCTATTTACATAATAAAGGCATGCACATTAACCATTCTAGTTTGGCCCCGAGTGACTAACCCAGTCTATACGCACACATCTGGAATTAGAAGCAAGGGTTTCCAGCTAAAGGTCGTTGCTTCCAGACGAGCCTTGGTGCGCGCGCGCACACCCTTTACAAGTGATTATGATTTAGCGCATTTGTATCATTCTACCAAAAAATGCGTGGCTAATTCATGCTATCCTTGTAAGAACAAAACTCGGCATTTGCTCAACGTTACCCAAGGGAGTTCATGGTGGAAGGAGTGAAACTTAAGGTTTCTCTAATCCCGATCAAGCAGTCTCTCTGCTACCCCCACCATTAATTCACTTTTTCTGTGTGTGTGTGTGTGTGTGTGTGTGTGTGTGTGTGTGTGTGAGAGAGAGAGAGAGAGAGAGAGAGAGAGAGAGAGAGAGAGAGCGCGCACGCGCGCGCGCGCGCGCGCGCGAGCGAGCTGCCTCACAGGTAAAATATATATTTCAGATGGAACTTCCGGACTATATTAGCCTTATTAATATTGAAAAAGTATGGGACCCTCATTTATTTTCTATGCAACAGGCTCTTTTAGTATAGTGTTAAGAGAAAGTTGGGAGAAACTGGAGAATTCCAAAAACATGGGAAGTAAGTGCTTGCACCAAGTGGACCAGAACTATCGTTCAGCTTTGTACCTAGTGTCCATCATGTGCAGATGCCATAGCAGAACTAAAATTGATTTTAACAGTGCAAATATGCCTCAATGAAACCATGTTCCTGCGCTGTGCTGTACTAGAAATACTGGAAAACGAATTTTCCTTGTTTTGCTTGTCACCATTTTTATATTGCTAACAATCTGTTTAATGTTCACACATTTCACTATAATAACAATCTAGTAGAATCAAAGTTCTTTGTATTATTCCATGATCAATCCAAGCTAGATTTTCACTAGTGATGAAGTGAGAGAAAGATGGAAGTAAGAGCAAGAAAGTAAAAGTGGGTTGAATGTAGGGGAAGAAAAACTGAAACCATGTTAAAGAATTGTAATAGGAGATATGATTTTCTCCTGTGATGAAGTTACAATAGTTCAGATCATTCATTGGTGTCACAAGTTCAGATGTGTCACTAAATTGCAACTAACTGTCCTGCCCTTGCTGTAGCTGTTGAAAGGGAGAAGGAACGTCATGTCTCTTCTCTAGTTGACAGACACTTTGTTATTTATGAGAGGAGTCTTTACTCTTCTTCACTAAACTGGCAGGATTAGTGTGTGTTCTTCCAATAATACGTTTGGCTTGAGCATGTTATTCTTTTTACCCTTCAGAATTTGGATTGACATAATTTAATTATATTTTACTATTGCTTGCTAGGATCTGATTGTACTAACCAGAATATCACAACTTCCAGAACTAATAACTCCCATTAATGCACTGGAATTATTACATTTCTTTATGTTGCCTGTGTGCATGATTCAAAGAAAGCATAAGTTTCAAAGCATGCGACTAAGCTTCAGGGCTATACATACACATGAAAATGAGTCTATTGAATAGATGAACTTACAATACAAAAATGCTGGTCTGAACAGGCTGGAAAAAATGTTGGATAATGTTAATTTATAGAATACAGGAACAGATAGTATAAATTCTTCATGGTTAAATATAGTAATCTGTATTATGGTTAAGTTAATAATGGTTTCCTTTCCTGATGCACCTCAGAAAATTATTTAGACAAATAGCCATATTAATATTTTTATTGTCCTGTACTTGAGTAATTCTTTTCATGAATTACACTTTGGAGTGCCTGAGATATATTATAATTTTGAATTTTAAATTACACTGAGAAACTGAGTAGGGGCCTGGATGCATTCTAAATACTTGAAATAGAACAGTGAATTAAAATTCTGCATCAGCGCTTCTCTCCAAATCTTTGTTTATGGAAATGGCACTAAAGTTCCTTTTTATGTAAGAATCATACTATGAAAATAATGTGAAAAACTAAGTCCATAAAGCCATACATCAGGTAGAATGTTTTCAATTTGTCTTTAGTTTGGCTGTCAGCTTTGGTACTATAGATATTTTATTTGCATAAAAATGCAGTAAAACCACCAGCTGCAATCTGTCCATGCAGCTGTAGATATTAGAACAATAACAACAAAATCAAGATGACAGGATTTAATTCTTTTCTTAGTGTAAAATGCCAGGAATTATTTTTTTCAAATCTTAAGGGTGTAATCCCATATGCATTGATCTGAGAGTAAACCCCATTCAACACAATGGAATTTTCTTCTGAGTGGACATGCAAATGCTTACACTAAGAAACTTTTTAAAAGTCAAGCAAATCAAAACATTGCTGCTATATTATAGATGACTGTTAACTCCATACTGGAAATGTAAAATAGATAAACTAGACGGGAGGAACACATAAATGATAGGTGACACATATTTTGTGTAGGAGATCATAGGTATTTTCCATCAATGCTTTTGCTCAGAACTTATTGTACCGCGACCATGGCAAATAGTTTCTACTTAATTCTTTTTAATATGATGTGTCATACAGAACACTTCTTTAGTGCATGAGCATAAACATGTTTACTCAAAAGTAAGCTTCACTGAATTCAGTGGAATCAAGCAAAGGTCGTTAACACTGAAGTTCCCAGTCTGAGGTAATGTTCATCTATTTTATAACTAGCTATGGTTAACTGGTATTCTGCCCCCACCCCACAGAGCAATTTTATTTGGGTCCTTTGAATCAGATATGGCAAAAAGTCCAACTACAGTTTTAGTTATAAAGAAGTAAGGAACAGCCTTATTCCACTTTTTATTATACCACTCTTGGATTTTGTCTCCTGTGTGCCTAAATGCATGTGCTTTATAACTGCTATTTCACTTACTTTTGAATGGTATCAACTTTTTGATTTTGAGTTTGGACAGTATGTGAAGGGGCTGGTTCATAATAATAATAAAAAACCTTTTAGACCCAACCAGTTTTATGGAGAACAGGTTGGCCTTCAAAAAGATAGAAATTGGCAATCCGTCTTTCAAAATATAGAATGTAACTGAGAGGTTCGGCCATATTGTCTTGTAGATGTGCATTTGTTGTTTGTATTGTGTTGCTGTTATCCTACAACTTGTTCAAAACACTCATATTTGTTTGTCCTAAAGCAGGAGTGGGTGATTTGTGGCACTTCCGATGTTTTGGCCTGTAGTTCTCTTCCTATCACTATTGGCTGTGCTGACTAGGATAGGTGTGAGATGATGGCCACAAGTTTCTCACTCCTTTTCTAAAGCAAGAGGTTCATGGCAGCTAGAAGAAAGAGGGTCTTGACTTAACCATGTTGGACTACCTGCCTTTATTGTAATTGATTGATTAAATCTTGTGTCTTCTTCTGTAACTTAAAACTTGTTATTCTGTGGTATGTAAAATTTGGGAGCAAATGACTGCTCAGTTGTTACCCTAGTCAGCAACCCATGACTAGGCTCCTTCAGATTAGCCACTCTATAGATGTGGTGAGAAACATGGCCAATCTTATAGTCTCAAAATAGATCAGCAGATTAAAGTACCATCTAGGCACCCGTCACAATGCTCATTTATTATATCTCTCTCTACCTAACTGCCATTTTGTAATACTTAACAATGTTTGTGCAATCCTTGACTTGTTTTAATTTGAGTTTCCCTTTCATTTCACAGGTCAGCTATTGACCCATTTTTTTCCTGCTTCATCTTGAGTTCACCCAGAGTTATTGCCCTTTTTTGCTCCTAGCCTTTAACTGCCCTTGAACTTATGCTGTTAGGGCTTTCTTGATCATGGAATCCCACATGGACAGACTGCCATTTGTACAGGTCAAGTATTTACCAAGTTTTGTTTGGCTCATAGCCCATTCTTCATAATCCTTCCTCCCTCTCCTCCTCTGGTGCTTAACTCATATCTTCAGGGTCAGAATTTCTCTCTCTTCATCTTGCTTGAAATTCTTCACTGTTTTGCATGCCTGTATATCCAGTTAAAACTGCTTACCTGATAAAGCCTCAATGCAGCATTTCCTTCACAGCCATTTTAGCATGGCCACCCGTCCATTCCTTGCTGCTTGATGTGCAAGGGGCATATAAGAGGGTCACCACTTAGTGTGCATAGCTTTAT